TCAAATGCCTGCTGGGTGCAGACGTGAGCTTTGAAGCAGCAGTGCCAACGCCCTGTCGGAAACCTCCAGAACCATCCTGGAGCAGTTCTCATTGGCCAGAGTGGCTGCTGGACAGCCAGGGACCCAGCCCGCCGGGACCCCTCTGCACACAGGAGCACTCCTACCTGGATGGCTCCTGCCTGCAGGAGGTCCACGGTGGAGAGGAAGTGGAGAGCCAGGGGTGTGACAGCAGACACTGGTGGCACTCAGATGCCCGCAGGTCAGGGAGGAAGACGGGCTGCACTGCTGAGAGCTGTTCACCTCGCCCTGGGCACACCGCAGAGCCCAGAGCCCACCAGGCCGGTGGAGGCCTGTCCTTGTCTTCTGGAGGCGGAGGCAGGCAGAGGCTTAGAGAGGTGCCCGGCCAGAGCCCTGAGTGGGCGGGCAGCCAGGCAAGGGGCAAGGGGCCACAGGGTTCCTGGCAGCGTGGAGCTGAGCACCTGCCCCTGGAAATGCTCCCTGAGCTGCAAACCTGTGGGCTGGGGCGGCACATGGGGCCCGGATCAGGGGGCTGCACCTGGTGACCACACAGACCTGCCTGGGAAGGTCGCCCTGTCCAGCTCTGGCTCCCAGGTGGAGGGACTTTGCCCAAGGCCACAGGGTCATTTCAGCGCTGCCACGCCCTATAGCGTGATGCCCTGTAGGTGGCTGAGCCTACAGTCAGGTCCTCGGGGTCCCATCCCTGTGGGGTGGGCAGCCCCCTTGCCATGTGAGTGGCCATGGGAGGCCAAGATCTTAAGGGGCAGGCCAGCGTCTTGGTGGTCACTGGGTGGAGGCGGTGGGCTCAGCCCTGTAGGTCCTGTCTGCAGATGGGAGGTCTCCACCTCTCCAATTGCCTGTTGGTCCCTTTGTCACACTTTCCCCTCCTAGTGAGGGGTCTGTGTAGGTGACAGTCATAACGGGGGCAGAGATGGGCGAGAATCCCTGTGGCTGGGCGTCAGTTGACCAGAACATTCTTAACAGATTTCAGGCCTCACCTTAGACTCCCACCCCACTTTGCACCATGTGGGGCTCAGCTCCCCAAGGCCCTTCTAGTCACAGGCACCCCATGTTCACGAAGACGGAGGGCCCAGGCAGCTGGTCCCTTCGCAGACAGGGCCCCAGACCAGGGCCCGTGCCCTCGAGCTGGGAGCTCATGCCAAGCACCTGGCAGGCGGTCGTTCCATGGAAGGATGTGTGCTGAGGGGCTGTGCTCTGAGCCGCCCTGCAGGGACCACAGCCATTGCATGGGTCCTCTGGGCTGAGGGCTGCATCTCCCTAGCAGCGAGCACCTCACATCCCCTGGTCACCTGGGAAGGGGGCTCTGGAGGCAAACAGCAGAAGGGAAGGTGGGGTGACAGTGCAGGTCAGGACAGAGCTTGAGAACCCCGATATTAATGCCTCCAGGTCTGTAAAGAGACTCACAGAGCCCTCAGGGTCTCGGCTTTTCTCCCAGGGTACCCTGCTACGGCAGAGAGGGCGAGAACCGAGGGCCTGGCTCAGCGGTGAGGGCCGAGCTCTGTTGCCCATGCCCGCCACGCTCCACACCTGCACTCTGCCCCTGTCCCTGACCCCACCCACCACACTCCACCCCTGCAGTCTTCACCTGTCCCCACCCCCACCAGGCTCGACCTTGCACTCTGCACCTGTCCCTACTGCCCCACCCACCACGCTCCACCCCTGCACTCCGCACCTGCCCACGTGTCCCCTACCCACCACACTCTACCCCCATACTCTGTACCTGCCCCCACTTGTACCCCTACCCACCATGCTCCACACCTGCACTCCGCACCTGCTCCTGCCCCCACCCACCCACCACACTCCACCCCTGTACTCCGTACCTGACCCACTCCGTCCCACCCACATGCTCCAACCCTACCCTCAGCACCTGCCCCACCCCCCACCATGCTGCATCCTGCACTTCTCATCGTCTGCCCTCATTCCACCCCTACAGTGGACACCTACCCCTGCCCCCCCATGTACCATGCTCCACCCTGCACTCAACACCTGCCCCTGCCTCCCCTACCCACCACACTCCATCCCTGCACTGTCACCTCTCCTCGCTTATCCCTACCCACCACGCTCCACCCCTGCACTCAGCACCTGCTCCCACCCACTCATATCTACCAACTTTCACCCCTGCATTTCCTACCTGCCCCTGCCCTGGCCCCACCCCTACCCACTACCCTCCACCCCTACACTCAATGCTTGCCTCTGCCCACTCTATTCACCCCACCCCTGCCCACCCTTATCCCTGCCCACCTCCATCCCTTTCCACCCCTCCCTGTCCGCCCTGTCCCTGTCCACCCACCCCCATCCCTGCCCACCCCATCCCTGTCCACTCTCCCCCATCCCTGTCCACCCTCCCCCATCCCTGTCTGCCTCATCCCTCATCTCTGCCACCCCATCTCTGTACACCCACCCTCCATCCCTGTCCACCCCATCCCTGTCCACCCCCCACTCCTGTCCCCTGACTCATATGTCACCCCCCCCTCCTCCGTCCATGCACTCACTCGTCTGCATTGTCAGAGATGGCCCTGGAGGGCCCTGGCCTGGCAGCTCAGGTCAGGGGTCTCAGCTTGCACGGTGTGGCCACCCAAGGCTTGCTCCACTCCCTTCTCCCACCCTCAGCCGTGAAGCCAAGTGGAGGTCACCTCCTAGGGGCTGATGCAGGTGGCAGATGGCTGTTTCCAGCCCAGGCGATCTGGCACCCACACCAGCTCCCCCAGCTCCTGCCACCGGCCGCTCCCACAGGCCTCGCCCTTGGGCCCAGGAGAGAGTGGGCAGGGTCGGAGGCGATCCCCGGCCCGGGGTGCCTGAGTGCTGTCCGGCCCTCAGTGTGGGACAGGGCTCTCCTGGATCTTGTGACGCGGGGGCCATCAGGCCAGCCCAGGCACGCCCGTGTTAGCTCTGTGTGGTCTAGTGGTGTCTGCCTGACCATCTCTGCGGGCCTCGCGGCCTCCCCCAGGGCTTTCTCGAGACGACGTGAGACGTCCCTCTCGGGAGGGCATGCGGTCTTTAGGGGCGTCTCTCTGGCTTTGCTCATACTCGGGGCTTTAGCCGTCTGTCCCCAGACTGCCCAACACACAGCTCAGGGTATGTCCCAGGCCGTGGCTGTGCAGGCCCCTGCGGGAGATCGGATGATTTCCTGCAAGTGGCCTTTCCCAGTGACGAGACCCTGCTAGGACAGACTCCAGGGCCCCGGGGGCTGTTCACAGGCTCCAAGGCTGGATGTGCCTCTGCAAAGGCATGGCACACACGTCTACGCGCAGGAGGAAGCCGCCGCGTCCCTCGGCACCCCACTCTCCACGCGCAGGAGGAAGCCGGCGTGTCCCTCTGTGCCCCACTGTCCACGCACAGGAGGAAGCCGGCGTGTCCCTCTGCGCCCCACCCAGGTGTCGGGCCACTGCTCTTCCCTGAGGCTTTTCTTTCAGGAGAAGGCAGAGGGGGTCTCTGAGCTGTCTCCCTGTAACCCGGCCACCGAGACACCGACTTCGACTTATCACTCTGTCGGGGAGGGAGCAGGAGTTTTAAAGCACGCGGTCTTTACAGAACACAGCCCTAAAAATCGCCAGTTTGGATTCAGCGGGGTGTCCAGGGCTCCTGAGAGGCTCATTCACTGCCCTTGGGGCTCCACGCCCCCAAGCCCAGGCCAAGAGTGCAGGAGACAGTGTGGCCATATCGCACCCCAACACGCCACATGGCCTCGCGGCAACCCCAGCCAGCCCTGAGCCCCAAAGCCCTTCCCAGTGCCGTGGCTACAGCTTCCTCCTCACGGTGACAGGGTTAAAGGCCCTCCTAGAGTGTGGCCGTGGGGAGCAGCAAGTGGCCATGCACAGAGCCAGGTGCGGCTGCCGAGGACCCGCCGGCCCTGGGCCTGGAC